TTGAGATCTTTTTGAGTGAATATGTATTTCAAGCTCTTATAATCGTTATAGATCTGAAAGATCTCCCCATACAAATAATGACGCCAAGTCTTTAAGACGTGAATAATTATGGCAAGTTCTAAGTCATGGGTGGGGTAGTTTTTCTCATGATTCTTCAACTGCCAGGACCCATAGGCTATGATCTTTCCATACTGCATCAAAATATAATCCAACCCTAGGTAGGAGGCATCATTGTAAACTGTATATCCACCCGATCCGCTCGACAAGGCCAACACAGGTGCAGTAGTCAGCCGCTTCTTTAGTTATGAAAAACTTCTTTCACAGTTTTCGTTCTACTCAAACTTGACATTCTTCTTTGTGAGCCGAGTTAGAGGAGTAGGTAGACTAGAAAGCCTTTCCACAAACCTGCGGTAATACCCTAGCATCCCTAGAAAGCTACGGATCTCATTAACCGATGTCAATATTTTCCATCCGAGCACTGCTTCAACTTTTTCGGGGTTCACTAACACTCCATCCTTTGATATGATGTGTCCTAGGAAGGTAGTCTGCTCAAGCCAGAACGCACACTTACTTAACTTTGCATACAACTTCTTCTCCCTAAGAACCTGCAAAATCTGAGTCAAATAGTGAGTGTGTTCTTCTTTCTTCTTTGAATAGACCAAGATATTATCGATGAACACAATAATAAACTGATACATAAATTGTCTGAAAACTCTGTTCATCAAGTTCCTAAAGATGACTGGAGCGTTGGTTAGTCCAAATGGCATGACCAGGAACTTATAATGTCCGTAACTAATTCGAAAGGCTATTTTGAGAATATTTTCTGCCCTAATTTTTACCTGATGGTAATCTGAATGCAGGTCTATCTTGGAGAAAACCTTGGCACCCTGCAACTGATCAAAGAGGTCATTGATTCTGGGGAGTGGATACTTGTTCTTGATCGTGACCTTGTTCAGAAATCTATAATCAATACATAACCTCAACGTCTCATCTTTCTTTCTTGCAATTGTGACTCCGGCACCCCAAGGGGACACACTATATCGGATGAATCCACTGTCCTGCAATTCCGTTATCTATTTTCTCAGTTCCTCTATCTCAACGCGGCTCATGTGGTAAGGAGTAACTGAAGGAGGCTGGGTGTCTTGCTGAAGGTCTATGGTAAATTCGACTTCTTTGTCCACTGGTAGTCTAAGTAGCTTATCCGGAAACATATCTGGAAAGTCTCGGACTAACAGAATCTCTTGAATACAAATTTTTTTCTTGGATTTGCCTAATTAGAGAAAACAGCTGAGTTAAAATACTTGATAATAAGAAAATTTACCATAAGGGAACAAATGTTAAATAATTTTATTAATTTGTAAATGATTCTTCATTAGGAGGGTTGAATACAAACTTCTTGCTAAATAATCTACAGTGGCGTGATACGTCGCTAGCCAGTTCATTCCTTAAATTACATCAAAGTTTCCCATGTCAATTTTTATTAGGTCCACACTAAATTTTCTATTTACTATATCTATGACACATGCCCTGTATACAACCTTCCCAGTAGTATTCTACTCCCAAGAGTAGACATAAACAAGATAGAATAAAGTTTTTCAGCTAATACATCTAATTTTGATGAAAAAACATATGAAATAAATGAATGCGATGTACCACTATCAATCAAAATATGAGTAAGATGGTTACATATAGTGTACATACCATGTACCACGTCCGGGTTGGCTTCTGTATCCTGCTGAGTGAGATTATAAGCCTTGCCCTAGATAGGAGGTCTGGCCTGGTTCTGGTTCATCGGGCACTCCCTTGCATAATGTTGGACGCTACCATATATGCGTCAGGTGTTGTTGCGGCGATAGTAGAGTCGGTCCCTATGATCCTTGTCGCAATGCTGACAGATCTTGCTGCGTTCTGCTACTAGAACTTGAGGGAGAGCCTGAGTCATCGGCCTGTGTCTCTTCTTCTGTTGAACAGGTGCAATAGGTGCTGGTCTGCGGTGTGGGGCTGAGGACCTGAGGTTCTCTGCTGCTTGAGGGAAGGTGCGAAGGCTCCTCTCCGCTAACTGTACCTTGGCTAGAATCACCGAATAAGTACTAAGCTCGAGCACAAACTGTCTGATCTTAGGACGAAGACCCCACTTGAACCTTTTAACCTTTTTGCATTCATCTATCATGCTCTCAGGAGAATATTTACCTAACTCTAAGAATTTGTGAGCATATTCTGATAAAGTTATGTTCCCCTGGACCAAATGTGCAAATTCCATCTCTTTCAGATGTCGGAGATGCTCTGGGAGGTATTCTGTATGAAAGGTCGTCAGGAACTGTTCCCAAGTGATTAGAAAGGGCAGGGTGGTCTGCTTGAGTTGCTACTAGCAGTCTGCTTCTCCCACTAACATGTAGGTAGCAAGGATAATCTTCTGTTCGGGGATCACCCCGATGGTTTTGAAGGCCTTCTCTGTCTCAGATAAACAAAACTGGGCCTCTTTAAAGGAGGATCCCCCTGCAAAAGTAGAAAGATTTAGTCTTTTATACCTTTTTATATAGTTTGGGTCCATCATGAGAGGAGCTAGGTCCCGTGAATAAGGGACTGAGCTAGGCTGAGGATGGACTGGATGACCCTGCAGTGGTACTTGATGATAAGGTGGAGGCACCAGATTATACTGTGGTAGTACTGGGTGATGCAGTAGTTGGGGCACCGAATCATATTGTGGTGGTGCCTGGTGGTACTGTGGAGGAGCGGAGTTATATTGGGGTGGTTCGAGATCATCCCGCTGCAGGGGCGGCTCAACCTGTGGCAACGAGAGAGGGTCAGGTAGCTTCCTCATTTCCTCCCGGGCCTATTGGACATCAATGAGTCTGTCTAACATCTCAAATAACCGGTCAACATCCTCTCTAAGCGAACCCTCCCGGGCTGCTCGGTTTAGTGGGAGTCTTCCTCTCATCGTCTATTTGTATCTGCATTTCACAAGGAATGGTTAAGTGATAATTTATTATTTTTTGTGTAAGGAATGGGTCCGAGGAACGCGACTCTGATACCAACTGTAATGACCCCGGAATGTCTAAGGAAATAAATTATAACTTAAGTGCGGAAGTGAAATAAATAGTTAAGGTTTACATTCCTTACACATAAACTTAAAGTCCCAAATAGTTCTACGGGAATTAACTAAAAATAAATGGAAAATAAATAAAACTGGTATCCTACTTGCAACCCTTTTGTGGATCGGGCTCTGGATCCTAGTCCTCTTGATCTAAAATTGTTAAATAAGGAATGAGTTAAACTAGCCCAATAAGAATATTACGTTATTCACTGACACAGAAATGAAGGTTAATAGAAAATCAAAACAACTAATAGAATACTTAATTAAACAAATATATTTCTTAATAATAAAACTATTTACCATCCACTTACCGCAGTGAGATTTATAAAAACAACCTATAGAGACAACAACATAGCACTTATCATGATTCCATATGCAATTGGTAACAAGCACACATTATAAATTCATATTCAATAAATCAAATAACAACCTTTTCTTTTCTCGGTCTACCAGTATCCATAGGGGTTCATAGCAATGTCCCCGCTACATATGAACAATTTCTTTCAACATTCTCAATTAAAGGGCCGTCTCTATACCTCATCCGATATGAGTGTCAAACCACTAAACCTCAATATCCAATTCGGTATGAGGGTAAAACAGACCGTTCCAATATCCCGTTCGGTATGAGCGCCAAATTACCAAGTCTTGATACTCCGTCCGATATGAGACAACGTTCACGGTAGGGTTCTCTATTATACCCAATCCGTCCACCATCTCCCAAGATATCTAGTAAGGCTGTTGTTCCATCCATTCACTTAATCAAACAATTTTTTTCGTTTTTCCTTAATCTCTATTTTCTAAATCAACCGTAATAACATAAACAAACAAACATGCATCAGGGAATGTAATCATATCTCGGTTTTTCAATTTAATAGTAGTCACGTAAGACAGCAATACATGCATTCAAATCATAAAATCGATAAATCAGATACTATCATGTATTTAAACTACAAAATAAATCAATAGAGAATAATTTTCAGTTTTGGCTCCATTAATAACCCGTAATTAATTATAGATATTTTTTAAGTTTCACGAAATACCATATTATTTAAAGTTAAGTTTCAATTTCATAACAAAGGATAGGGTGAGAGATTTTTACTCGATTTGATGCCCGAATGGCTAAGTTATGGCGTTATGCCTACTAACGACCCCCGGGTTCTCTGAATTTTTCTTCGGGGATTAAAACGTGCTACAAGTACCTACAAATATCCAAAAAAAAAATCATAAAACAGTGTCAGGACCCACTTTGGCCAATTCCAGCATGACAAAATTCTGAAATTCTGTTTTTGGCTTAATTCGGCCGATTTTGCATCAATTACTACGAGAAAATACGTTAAGGAACCTCGATTGGCCAGAAAAATATAAAAAAACTGAAACTCACTGGCGGCGGGGCTCTCCGGTGCGGCGACTCCTTCGGCTCACGTTGTGGTTGGGTGTTTTGCTCTGATCAACTTGTAGAGAAGGAAACGATGATCACAACAGTAGAAAAGTTACGTCGAACGAGAATCAGGAAGGGCCTCATCAGAGGCGTTTTGTGAAATTCTCGGCGGCGGCGCTACCGAATTTTGCCTGTAATTTTTGGCCAATTGGCTGGTTCTTTTGCTCTGATTTGATCATGAAGGTGTTTAAAATTGAATTCCGAGCAAAGAGAGAAATTTTTACTTTTTTTGGTGGTCGAAAATAGCTTTGGTGCGGCGGGGGGTGGCGGTGGCTGGGTCTTTTTCTCCAGCGAGGGTGGCTGGCAGCTAGAGTTAGGGTTTGGTGTGAAGGGGGGTATTTATGTCATTCCCTATTTAATCTAGGCCGTCCATCGCGCCTTATCTGAACCGTTTGATTGCGATTAAATAGGAAGTGAATCTGCACCGTTCATCGCGATCTAACCTGCCCCGTTCATCGTGATCTAATCTGAACCATTTGATCGCGTTTAAATTTGGCTATTCGATCGCGTTTGGAGAGTAAACGCATCTAGGCCGTCCGTGCGCGCGAGAACAAATCTGGGTTATTCGATCGCGGGTATGCGGATTGCCTGCATGGCCTCCCACGTGGCACCACGTCAGTGTCTGTTGCCAAGCAGAGCGTCCTAGTTCGTCGGGGATACTGACCCGACATCCTACGTGGCAAAATTTTTTTAAATGGTATTTTGACCACGAGTTTTCAATTTTTTAAAAAAATATATATATCAAAAGAACCCAAATTTTTACTTATTTTTTCCAAAATTGTTTTCAATTTCATCCTCCATCATATTTCTTTCATTTTTACACTAAATTAAAATTAAAAAATTATATTTATAATTAATTGAATTTATAATTAAATTAATTTGGCATTACACATGTCAAACACGTTCTATAAATTCTCCAATAATACAAATTTTTTGTCAAGCTTAAAAATGTGTGTTTGGCCAATAAGAATTTGAGTATTTAGGGCATATTATTACACCACAAGGAGTAAAAGTGGATAAAATAAAATTTAGGCAATGGAGTAATGGCCTCATCCGACCAGTATTACCGAACTCCGTGGATTTCTAGGACTCACAAGCTATTACAGAAATTTTATTTGTAATTATGGCATCATTGCTCGAGCCTTAACCAATCTCTTGAGGAAATGACAGTTTGGATGGTCCAACAAAGCCAAACAAGCTTTTATTCAAGTTAAGCAAGCCTTTTCATCAACTCCAACTTTAGCTTTACCTAACTTTAATATTCATTTTCTGATTCAGACTGATGCTTCAGGTGATGGCATTATAGTAGTTCTTTCTCAAAATAACAACTTATTGCATACATAAATAGAACTTTAGGTGTTTCTAAACAGGCCTGGTTCACCTATGCTAAAGAAATATTGGCTATTATTATTGCAATCAAAATGTGACGATCGTACCTCTTTGGTCACAAATACAATATTTAAACTAATCAAAGAGGCTTGAAATATCTGCAACAGCAACACACTTACACTATAGAGTAACAGAAATGGATTATTAAATTATGTGGTTATGACTATGAGATTATCTATAAGTCAGGAAAAGAGAATTTTATCGCCGATGCATTGTTTAGACAAGAGGATGATCCAACTCTTAATGCCTTTTCCATTCTTCATACACAACTATGGGATGATATCTATCAGTTTTTGGTAACGAATCCCTATATGGAAAAAATTGAGAAATTAACTGTGGACAATCTTGGTCAACTATACAGTAAAAAAAAGGGATTAATCTTCTTCAAAGATCGTATTTCCATTATCCCTCACTCCAGTATCATGCATAAGCTATTATAGAAATGTCATGACTCACCTAGCGGTGAACATGCTGGTATTGAGCAAACATTCAAGCACATTACTTAGCAGTTTTATTTGACACCAAGCATAAAATCATTCGGGAGTATGTTTTCTTTTGTGATATTTGTCAACAATCGGAGATAGATACCTTTAGTTTGGCGAGACTTTTGCAACCATTGCCCATTCTTGATCAAATATGGGAAGATATTTTAATGGATTTCATTGATGGGTTGCCTATTTCCTATGTTAAAATTGTAATTTGTTATCGTGGATCGTCTTACTAAATCAGCTCACTTTGCTGCTCTAAGTCATCCTTATATTACCAAGATTATTGCCGAACTCTTCATTAATACCATAGTTAAGTTACATGGTATGCCTCAGTCTATCGTCAGTGATCGGGATCCTGTCTTTATTAGTAATTTTTAGCAAGAATTTTTTAAGATGTCGAGTATCAAACTCAAGAGTTCAGCATACCACCCTTAAAGTGATGGTCAAACTGAAGTGATTAATTGCATTTTGGAATAAAATCTCCATTTTCCTTGCCACGAACAGCCCCGTAGTTGGCATTCTTTTTTATCTTGGGTCGAGTTCTAATATAATATGACCTATTATTCTTCTATCAAAATGACTCCCTTTCAGGCATTATATGGTCGACCTTCGCTTACTGTTCCTTCTTATCATCCAGGTGCTTCTTTGGTGAATGAAGTTGATGTTCAATTGACCAACCGCGATGTCCTACTACAATAATTCAAAATTAATTTATAGAATGCAAATGATCGCATGCACCAATAGGCCAATACCAAGCGCTAAGACATTGAGTTTCAAAAGGTTGATTGGATCTTTCTTAAATTACAGCCCTATTGGCAACACTCCATCTTCAAAATGGCTTTTTAAAAGCTCGCATATCGCGTTTATAGAATTTTTCAAATCATTTAGCGAATTGGACCGGTAGTATATAAGCTTCAGTTACATGCAAAATCCATCCGATTTTTCTTATTTCAATGCTTCACAAAAAACTTGGAGGCGTCACAAACCACACAAATATCCTACCACCTACAACTGAAGATAGTGTTCCTATTCTCCAACCAGAATCTATCCTTGAACATCGATGGATTAAACGCGACTCCAAAATCATTGAAGAAAGTCTTATTAAATGGCGTAATCTGTCTAACCGATGATGTTTCTTAGGAACCTACTTTTACCTTGCAAGAATAATTTTCTGATTTGAATCTTGAGAAAAAAGTTCCTGTAAAAAGGGGGAATAATGATACAATTTGTCCTTCACAAAGACAAAGGATATCCAAGCCCCGTTACTTCAACAACCAATTGATGTGAGCTACTGGTTATCAAACATGATTTCCAGCAATTCAAAATCAGATAAACTTAAGTAGTTAGCTACAGTTATTTATATATACAAATTAGTAGGGAAGCAGTTGTATTCTACTTTCTGTTTTAAGTATGTATACAAAAGAGAATGCAAGTATGAATTATCACTGATAAAATCAAGGTTGTTTCTCATCTTAAAAAAAAAAATTACAAATTTATCTCTGTTCCACATTATATATATATTAGCTATGAGTAAAACAATCACTTACAGGTCATATGTGTATAAATATATATTTTTCATATACATCAATAGATGAAGATGGGTAAGCCCGACAAGGAGAAGAGATTAATCATCGGTCAATATAGCAACAACATATATATATATATACTTATCCTCTAACGCCAATCCCGCTGTTGGCAGCATCAATATATATATATATATATATATGTATATGCGCAAGCAAAATTTACTCTCGTGTATGCACGTCATCTTCCTCCCCCAAACTCCAAATTATGCTCACCAAAGTGCCCTTCACTTCGTCTTAGTGCTAACTACCTGTGCATTCAGCACAGTACAGTGTGCCGATCCACGGAGCAGTACATCGGCGTATATATATATACATAAAATATACATAAACTTATATATCTTTACCATCAATCACAATACAATGAAACGCAAACTAAAAACGGATAATTCAAATCTACAAAGTTTTATATAAAAAAGGCATAATAATCATTAAGAAGTGGAGTTAGTGATTAGTATATACACACATATATATAAATATATATTAACTTACAGGTTGATGAAACTAGGAAGAGACAGACAATAAATGTAGAGATTAGACATCGTCCATCATGAATAAAAACAATAAATCCGACGTCTTACCATACGGACTTCCCTACTAAGCAGACGAAAGATATTACTGCTGGCTGTATTAGCATGTAAAAATCTACGTGTTAGCTTCATATACCACCTTCCAAAACTAAGCTAGCCACCTCATGTTACACGTTCTTTCCATGCAAACGCCCTATCTCTTCTATATATATATATATATCCCCATATTCATACATCCCCCATTTTCAGTACGTAGAATCAAACGATCTTCCTACTCAGATTAACTACAGCAATGGTGAAGTTGACTCTCCTTCTAGCTACCCTCACTCTCTTCCTCCTCCTCGTCAACGCCTCCATCTACCAACTCGAAGAAGACGAATATGAAAACCGATTAACTGAGCAACAAACATGTAGACAGGAGTTCATGAGGCACGACCGTCTCAGGGCTTGCCAGCGATTCCTGATGAGACAAACCAAGAGGACGAGACAACTGGAGGTGGAGGAAGAAGAAGATGAATACATCAGACCTTTTAATCAAATGCTTTTCCAACGGTGTTGCCAGGAGCTACGTGGTGCGCATGCTCAGTGCCGGTGTCCGATGTTGAAACAAGCGATGAAGATTCAGCAGCAGATGGGTCAGCTCCGGTTTGAGGAGATGAGACAGATGTGTTCCATGGCTAGGAATCTTCCCAACATGTGCCAGTTGGAGCCGATGACTCCATGTCCCTTCCGGGAACGTAGATCGGAGTAAATTAAAGTGATGGGTTGGCCATGCAAGAACGTACGTTCCATGCATGGATATGTACGGGGAGAATAAAGATTTCTGTTCTTGAGTTTGAGGTTGAGATGAATGAAGTTAAGGGTGAACAAGCAAGATAGTTGTACTATATAAAAAGCACACAATCGTGTGTCCCTAGCTATGTATTTATATGTATATATAGAGTTTGATGCAAATGAATAAAAGTTCGCCCCCGTGTAGATAGCAGAGAGTCTTTTGGAATTTTTGAAGAAATTCCTTTAAAATAGGAATAACTATTCTTAGGCCCTCTGAATCACAGACAAACTGGTATAATTTAGATTAATTTATATTTAACTTTTACGTAATAAAAAAAATTATACAAATAAAATTTAAATGCATAAATACTTCAATAGTTAATTCTGTCTAGTTTAAATTAGGTTTGTACTTTGAAAATCTATTCAAACAAATTCTTATTCCATACTTTTCTAGTACAATTTTTGGTTATTTGTTTTTAATTGTATTTCTCGTTAACTCAAGTCTCTCCTTTCGCAATGACTTTCTATTACTGTTTTAAAATTTCTTATCTTATCCTGCATGAACACAAACATCAAATGTCAAGAAGAAATCAACACTGTGTAGACAAACATCGAAAGCATGTGCTCCGGTCATTATAAATTTTGATTTATAGTTATACGTCTTATAATCACAAATTAGAATAACTTTGTCGTGCATAAATAAAATGAAAGTATCACATAAATCAAAATAGTATTCATCTTCCATATGTTTGCATGATTCAATATGATAACAACAACAATGAGCTATATGGATATATGATTATATAAATAACAAATAGTTAAAAAATATTGCGATAAATTTATATGGTATTATGAAAAAAGGAAAAAAATTTCTATTTCTAAAATAAATTGTGTAAATATGTAGCTAGATTCTTTACTTTGTTTAATAAGTACTTCTTTATATGTCTAGGACTTATTCCTTGGTAGTTATCAATTGAACCTAATATAAATACTTCACCGTAGTCTAAATTCGAATAGACATGACCACTCAAGAAAATCCTCCATAGGTGATTGACTAAATAAATCAAGAGGCCGATTTCCTTACGCAAAAGTAAATAATTTTGCCTCTAAAGTAAGGATTCAATGGGATTGCCTCCTAACTAGAAATCTGCAGGAAGCAAATTTTTATGCTAAATCATGATTTCCTTGTGATTCGTGTTAAATTATAATTTTGAACCAAAAAAAAAAAAAGAAAAAGAAAAAAAATGACTTCATTTTTCTTACATAAAAATAATAACTTAAAAAAGTTGAAAAAAGTAATTATTTTTTACATTGACCTCTGTCAATTTAAGGTCCATGGGTAAAATAAGCAAGATATGTAAAGGCTCAAACTAAAAGAAAAAGATTTATCATCTAAAGACGGAAGCAAACAATAAATTAGAGTTTATATTCTTTATATAGTAAATTAAAATATTCAATAAAATTACGAGAATGTTCCTACTACAACAGCTCGTAAAAAAAAGTAAATAAATGATTTAAAACAAATAGATAAATGTCATACCAGTTAACCTCTACTAGTTCTTGAAGGGGTCCCAGAGGTAAACTAGTTACAACTTCCTTACTTATCGGGATCTATGTAACAGCCCGCGTACTAGGAAGGAAATAAATTATGAATTAAATGCGGAAGCAAAATAAATAGTTAAGGTTTACATTTCTTACACAATAATTCAAATTACTCGATAGAATTACGCGAATAACCATTTGAAAAAAAAAATAAAAAATCAAGGAAATAAATAAAAAATAAACGACTGAGCATTTTAGTCGCAACTCTCTTGTGGATCGGGTTCTGGATCTTGATCCTCTTGATCTGAAATAGTTAATGAAAGAATGAGTTACATTACCCCAATAAGAATATCACGCTACTCACCAATACAGAAATAAAGGATAGTAGAAATTATAAAAATAACTAATGGAGCTCTTAATTCAAGTAAATTCGTTTATCATGAATAAAAATCATTTACCACATGTTTACTGTAATGAGATTTTCAAAACCAACCTGTATAGTCAAGAACATAAACAACACCATAATATCATATGCAATCATTCGAAACAACAACTTTTCTCTTTTATCAGCCTACTAGTATTCATAGGGTCCATATAGATATTTCCACTACACGTGAACTTTTATTCAATATTTTCAAATGACAGATCGTCCCCATAATCCATCTAGTATGAGCGCCTAATTACCAATTTTCGAAACTCCGTCCAGTATGAGGCAACATTCACAGTAGAGTTACTTATGTACCCGTTGTGTCTACCATCTCCCAAAATATCCAATAAGGCTGTCATTCATTCATCCACTTAATCAAATAATTTTTCGTTTACCTTTAATTTACAGTTACCCAATTTAACCGTAATTATATAAAACAAACAATCCATGCATCAAGAAAATACAATTGCATCATCATACCAATTCTAGTGTATTATCATGCATTCAGAAACTGTAAAATCAGACAATAAGTTAAACATAGCAACAATAATAAGTAACCAGTTCCGGCTCCATTAGTAACCTGTAATTAGTTACGAATATTTTTTAAATTACACAAAATATTGTATTATTAATAATTAAATTTCAATTCTACAACAGGGAATAAGGTGATGGATTCTTACTTGAACTTGTGTCTTAATGCTAAGTTTTTAACTGCACCTACTAGCGGTCCACAAGTTCTCTGAATTTTTATTTAGGGATTAACATACGTTTCAAGTACTTAGAAATACCCCAAAAAACTCAAAATCAGTGTTAGAAACCCTTTTTAGCAATTGTGAAATTTTAGTACAGCGACTTTGCCGTGCTCCGGCAACAGCACCGCCACCCACAACGGCAGTTTGCCTTGGGTTGGCTATTTTCGGTATTTTTCGTCAGTTTTTACAAATCCTTGCTAGAAAATATGTTAAGGGGTCTCGATTTGCCAAAAAAAATTGAAAACCCGAAGCTTACCGGCATACAGGTTCTCTGGTACAGTGGCTCCGCCGGCTCACCTTTGCGATTGGGTGTTTTGCTTCAGTCAACCTGTAAGAAAAAGAATGGTGATTACAATGGTGAAAAAATTACACGAAACGAGAATCAGAAAGGATCTCGTCGGAGGTATTTTTGTCTTTTTCTGCGATGGCACAATGGGGTTTACCCACAGTTTTCGGCTCATCCCTCGATCTTTTTGCTCTGATTTGGCTATGGGGGTATTCAAAATTGAATTTTGAGTAACTGAGGAAAATTTTACCTCTTTTGGTGGTCGGAATTGGCTCCGGCATGACAGCAGGTGGCGATCAGATCTTCTCCCAGCGATTGGCTCTTCTTCTCCGGGGAGGGTCTGGCGGCTAGGGATTAGGGTTTGGTGTGAAGAGAGTTATTTATATTCATCTTCTATTAATATGGGTTGTCCATCGCATTTGATCTGAATTGTCCCATCGTATTTAAATAGGTAATGAATTTGGACCGTTTATCGTGATTTGATCTGAACTGTCTAATCGCGTTTAAAGGAGGAATAGATCCGAACTGTCCGTGCGTGTGGGAACAAATCTAGATCGTCCAATCGCGGGTACGCGGATCACTAGCGTGGCCTCCTGCGTGACACCGCATCTGCGTGCCTTGCACGTGGCGTGCTTCAGTTCATCGGGGCTGCTGACTGGGCGTCCTATGTGGCATAATTTTCTTAAATTATATTTTGACCTCCGATTTCTGATTTTTCTTTTAAAAAATCTCCAGAACCCAAATTTTTACCTATTTTTTCAAAAATTATTTTTAATTTCATCATCAAATTAATTTTCTTCATTTTTACATTAAAATAAAATTCAACAAGTAAAAAAAAGTATATTTATATATAAATTTTAATTACATTAAATTAATTAATTAAGGGTATTACAACTCTCCCCCTTAAAAGAAATTTTATCCCTCAAATTTGTCTCTCTCTCACTCAATCAAACAGTCAGGAATACTGAGCTCTGAAATCTGATTCTAGCTCCCATGTGGCCTCTCCTGCTGTGTGATTCTGCCATAGGACCTTAACAAAGGAAATTTTCCAGTTACGAAGTACTCTGCTCTTTCGGTCCACAATACCGACCGGTACTTTCTCATAGGACATATCTTCCTGGAGTAAAAATGGCTCGTGGGCCAGGACGTGAGAGAGGTCCGGATTGTACTTGCATAGCATGGACATATAGAATACATTATAGACCCTGAATAGTTCTAGAGATAGTACCAGTCTGTAGATGGCGGTGCCAATTCTATATAAAATTTCAAATGCCCCAATGAACTGGGGGATTTAGTTTCCCCATCTTGCCAAACTTACTGATTCCTTTGAAAGGACTGACCTTAAGGAACACCCGATCACCTTTCTCAAATTCTAAATCCCTCATCCGGATATCTGGATAACTCTTCTGCCTACTCTGAGCCATCTGAATGTTCTTCCTAATCTTAACTATTTTGGTTGTAGTATTCTCTACAAGATCTGGGCCGAACAATTTTTTATCACTCACTTCTTTCCAACAGATCATCAATATGCATGGACGGTCATACAACGCCTCGTGCGGAGCCAAACCAATACTTGCTTAGTAGTTATTATTGTAGGCGAACTCTATTAGGGATAAATAATTATCCCAATAGCCCGTGAAGTTAAGAACACAAGCTCGGAGCATATTCTCTAGTGTGTGGATCGTCCTTTCTGATTGTCCATCGGTCTGAGGGTGGAATGCAATACTAAGGGATAGTTTTGTTCCCATGGCTTGCTGAAAATTAGATTAGAACCGAGAAGTGAACCTAGGGTCCCTGTCGGATACTACTGTTTCTGGCACTCCATGTAACCTGACAATCTCCCGGATATACATTCTTGCTACCTTATCCAAGGGATCGGTCATCCTGATGGTTAGGAAGTGGGAAAACTTGATGAGCTGCTCAACAATTACCCAGATGGCATCATATCCTGAGCGTGCCCTAAACAACCC